GACTCACCCGAAATATAACAATTTCGACAGTTCTCTATGAGTGTCTCGAAAATTTCACGTATTTGGAGAAATTTATCGGCATTTCTCGAGTCACAGGGTTATTATTTTCCAAATTGGTTGCCACGGACTTTAGTTCAGGTAAATGCGTAATAATCGACCAGTTGCAGGCGCTCGTTTTGACCAATTGTACATGTTTTTTCCATAGGCATAGCGAGGTCGCCCATAGGAAGTTGTTCAGGTTGATCGATAGCATCGTCGTCCTCGGCGTAGTCTATAGTGTATTGTTCATCCGTCAACAACGAAAAAATCCATTGTGAAGGAAGTTCAAATCGTACACGCAACTGACATCCTCGGATCAAATTTGACCGCAAAGTCAACAAACCAACAATTGTGATGTTTAAATTAAACTGTGGTTTGAGGTATACGTGCTCATACCGTATGAGAAGTCACGGGACCCCCACCACATAACTGAGAAAGCTCGAATCATCCGACGATATCATTAAAGGATTAATTTCTATATTCTTGAACGAATCTATAAAATCAAAGTGGCTGGGTTTCATTTACATAGCTCTTTGTATGGTCTTGTTTGCTGATCAACATTATATGACTTCTAGACATGTTCAATCTGTGCAGCTTCTTCACTTTCATATTAATGTCAATAAGAGCATTTCATCCATTTTTGAATAAATGTGGTTCATCACAAATTGTAGAAATACTCTGAGCATTGACTATAAAATGGAATGGGACTTGATCCGTGAGTATTCTCCGAGCAAATCGTCTCAAGTGCGTTTTTGATCGTTGCGCCCTGATTAGAAATAGTGCCAACAACGCACAAACCAAGTCGCTGCTAGTTTGTGATCACATGAACAATAATCGTTTTCAGATCTGGGATTCTTGTATCTTTTACTAGATAATAAGCCACAACCTGCTTATAATTTTTACGAATCCCTCTTATCATGGAAGTAAGGGCATGATTTCTGATAAATCACTTTTTCAGAGTTCTAGTTGATTTTGTTACCTCAGAATTCAAGATTTATTAGCTGAAAATTGTACACTGTGAGCACTGGGATCAGCCCTAAACTTGTCCAAACCCTGCAATAATCGTAAACACTAAACAAGGGTAGACATATTTCTAGTTTAACTGCCTGAAGATTTTCTCTATGGTTTTATACGTAACGCTCCACCTATTATCTCATTTTGTACATGTTCTGGGAGAACTCAACTTGCTCCCTATAAAATGCAACGTCTTCCTGCACAGGTGGTTCTGGTTAAGTGCCAGCCTGCTTCGGGTTTGTAATTAGTTGTTGCAATTTTCTGATTTCGTCGTCCTTTTTCATAATCCAGATTTCGTTTTGGCATTCCAGTTCAGCCATTTGATCCTGAAGCTCTTTTATAGTAGACTCATTATGGCATCGTATATCTGAGATTTTAAATGAGTGGTTGACCTCACGTTGGTTACTCTCGTCCATCAGACTCTTTACGTCATTTCTCAGTTTAGATTCAAGTTCTTTTAGGAAGCCAATTTCATCTTGCAGTTCAGCAATGTGTGACATCGTTACATCAGTTTGTGCAGCAGCACTTAAAGAATGTTGCATATCTTCGTACTCAGCGTCAAGTCTGCAACCTTCTTTTTTGACTCAATATTTTGAGCTTCAGAGATGGTTTAGGGCTCTCTGATCTTCCTAGGTTCTTCAGTTGAGTACGCGGCATCTCTATTTCTGACTCGTATGTTTTTAGTCTTTTATTATTTTTTTCCAGAAAATCGAGTCTGTAATTGCAAGTCGATGAAATTCTTGCGCTTTTTGAGAATTTTTTTGAACTCTTTCTATTTCTTCGTTGTACGCATCCGTTACTTGCGGAGTTCCTGACTGTAACGATCGATTTTAGAATTGGCTTCTGTGAGCTGTTTCTTCAGGTCCAAAATCTCCAGCTGATTATCTAGTTTAGTGAATTCTCTAAGCTCATTGAAAGATTCTTCCAGTTCTTTGAGTTGTCTTTAAGTACACTTGCACGTCTTCAGCTATCACAGATTCTGCTTCGGCTAGTGCCTCCTCATATGTCTCTTCTTGAATAGGCCTCATTTCACGTCCGGATGATTCTTCTTTGGTGGATAATTTCTCAATGGCATATACCCTAGGGATGCTTTTTTAGGTGATACGTTGCCATAGTGTCCAAAAGTATGACGTCTTAATGTTTTTTTCGGTGTTGATGCCGAGGCTCCCATTTGAAAGCGCCCGACAATAGATACTTCCGTTTTTAGTCTTTCTATCTCGAGCAGATACTCTTGTTTGCTTTTATCCATCTCTTTTAGCTTAATTGCCTGCTTTTTGAGCCGAGTTTCGAGATCGCGAGTCAAGTTCTGATATCCTTGAAGTGTCTCTTCTGTAGCTGACAAGATGTTTACTTTCGTTTTATTTTTGACAGTTTTAGTGCTTTGGGCGAATTCTGGTGTAGATCTAGTCTCCTCCTCTGCAGCTAAAGTAACATTCCCGATAATCAATGATTTGGCATTACCGCCAAGAGCCTGTGAGAGCAGTCTAGTCAATTTCGAATCGCGATAACTGATAAACTCCTTCCCCTCGCTTAGTTGCCTTATCACATTTCCTAATACTGACAAGATTTGTTTATGTTAGCCCCCTCTTTAAGACGCTCACCAGCAGCTTTCGTCAGAGAAACTCTCTCAGAACCAGCTAAGTCCATTAAGTTAAGGTAGCTTATATGTACAGGTCCATCTTTCTGATTGGCATCTTTCGACTCCAGAATAATCCGGAAAATCGTGTGTGATCGAGATGACCTCTCATTCATGCGAGTAGCTGCAACTCGTCTGATCTTATTGCCCTGCATCATGTTCTCCATAACTTTATCAACATTGTCTACGACAGCTTCCCTTGCATCAAGCAGCACATTTCCTTTGATATCTTCTCTTATAGTTAAACCCTGATTGCTCTTATCCAGGAGGTCATTGATCTTTTCATTGTAGATTTCAATATAACTGCATCTAATCAAGTACCTCTTATCAACCTGGTCTGCCACATGCTGGAATAACTGATTGGATACTAATTGGAAAAGCCCAGGATCTGTTTTATTGCCCAAAATGGTGTGTGTTTTGCCAGAAGATGTTTGGCCATATGCAAATATTGTGGCATTGAAACCTTCCATGAAGGAATCGACTAAAGGTTTTACTACAGATCCATATACATCTGAATTTGTACATTCCTGATTAAATACATGGTCGAATATATAAACCTCTCCATGGCGACTACTTTCATCGGCTTCCCATATGCAGTTTACTCTTACGTTCCAAAGACGCTCTAGACCATCGGCTACTTCGCGGTGGATCATTGGTCTGATCTTTGTGGCTACTTTAATATTGTTGGAAGTCATTTTGGAAGCTTGAACTGAAATTTAATTAGAACTAGGGCTATTTCACGGGTTATAAAGAGGGGCAGATGTATCAGGTTGATACTTTCTTTTTTTCCTCCTTTCCAGTATAGAAGATTTTTTTCTCTTGTAGGCTATGAATGCGGTCCGATAGTTTAGTAGAGCTACATTTACAGGGTGACTCAAAATCAAAGAAGAAACGAATTGTTAAATTTCATATAGACTGTTATTGTTATTACAAAAAGAAGTTGAAGCAGCAGCAAATTCTCACAAATCTATAGATCCATCACTTTCAGCACCCGATTTTTCAACTTGAAAAATGCAGCTCGGTGAAGAATCACAAGGTAACTGTTGTCTATTCAGACAATACTCTTCTAAAAGCAACGCGAAATTTCCTAGTGCCTTACATGAATCGCCTTCATAATTCTTCATTATTGTCAATGGAAAACTGAAATTGTTGATTATTACAGTTTTTTAATGCTGCAAATAAGCAGATGGGGTTCGTGTTGGAAATCCCACGTCTAATCTCGCAAAACAGGTTATCCACCGGATCTTACTATCAACATCTGAAATGCCATTACTGTTTTTAGCCATGTGTACAACAGGTTTGTACGCATAAAGACACTCTTACATGAAAACTGTTTATTGTCTAAAGACGAAAATACCCCATTGAAGATGAGTAATGCAATAAATATAATCCTCGAACTTGAACTGTAATATGAACATAAAAAACTAACAAAATGGGCCATTTAACAACATATTTGGTGTTGATATTCTACAACAAAAACAAATACTTTCTCGTATAAGGAAACATACAATAATTAACATTTATCACTTTTCACGAAACAATGTAAGCTGCGCTGTGACTTTACATACTTATTACAGACTGTAGAACATTTTTTTCATTGTGTATTGTCATGTAACACCTACGTCGTTTTTTTTTCTTTAACAACTGCATCAGGATCGAGAACTCTGGGCTGAGAAGTAGACGGCTTACTTTATTCGTCGTTGGTAATTTAGGATTCTTTGCATGGCTGAACGAAGCTCCCTAGGAAGTCTTGGATCTGATAAACGTCCTCTCATATGAAGTTAAATTAGAGTTTGCCTCAGGGGAACAATAAAATTTCGTCGCCTAATGAACTTTCAGTCCCAGACTGAAAAAAAAGGAATTTACAGAAGCTGGTTGGATACCAAATAGCACAAGGCCATCTTCTCGTTCTCTAACCAGTATTGTAATTTACACACTTCCGATCTAATGCATTACCCCCCGCCTTCATAGTGTTATAAAAATAATATAGGATCTTATCAGGTTTCTTTGATTCCTCTACTATTTTGTTATCATGCTGCATAGATTGCTATACGAGAACATGTGTATTTGGTTTTGGAAGATACTACTCTAAGGCTGTACAACATAAACTTAGAAGTACCTGGCGTGTTTTCCTTCTTATTTGGAACTACATGTTGGGGTACTTGTTACTTATTTTTACGCTTCCTGCCGACATAGGTCAGTTGGTTGATTCGCAATTCTACATGTAATTCTACTGACGTGAACCAGTCATCTGCTGTGATATTTCTGTTCGTATAGACGAAAGTATTGAGCAGGTAGTGGTGAGTCTTTGCATCATCAGTCCATACTTATTCGGTTTAGTTTCCTGTAGGCACAGGAAGGACATCGGCCCTCGAGCATCTCGTATTTTGTAGGGGACTCACCCGAAATATAACAATTTCGACAGTTCTCTATGAGTGTCTAGAAAATTTCTCGTATTTGGAGAAATTTATCTGCATTTCTCGAGTCACAGGGTTATTATTTTCCAAATTGGTTGCCACGGACTTTAGTTCAGGTAAATAATATTGTCGTCCATCAGACTTTGCGTCATTTCTCAGTTTAGATTCAAGTTCTTTTAGGAAGCCAATTTCATCTTGCAGTTCAGCAATGTGTGACATCGTTACATCAGTTTGTGTAGCAGCACTTAAAGAAACTTGCATATCTTCGTACTCAGCGTCAAGCATAGCTTCTAAGTCTGCAACCTTCTTTTTGACTCAATATTTTGAGCTTCAAGAGATAGTTTAGGGCTCTCTGATCTTCCTAGGTTCTTCAGTTGACTACGCAGCATCTCTATTTCTGACTCGTATGTTTTTAGTCTTTTTATAATTTTTTTCCAGAAAATCGAGTCTGTGTTGCAAGTCGATGAAATTCTTGCGCTTTTTGAGAATTTTTTGAACCCTTTCTATTTCTTCATTGTACGCATCCGTTACTTGGCGGAGTTCCTGACTGTAACGATCGATTTTAGAATTGGCTTCTGTGAGCTGTTTCTTCAGGTCCAAAATCTCCAGCTGATTATCTAGTTAGTGAATTCTCTAAGCACATTGAAAGATTCTTCCAGTTCTTGGAGTTGTCTTTAAGCACACTTGCAGGCACGTCTTCAGCTATCACAGATTCTGCTTCGGCTAGTGCCTCCTCATATGTCTCTTTTTGAATAGGCCTCATTTCACGTCCGATGATTCTTCTTCGGGTGGATAATTTTTCAATGGCATATACCGTAGGGATGCTTTTTTAGGTGATACGTTGCCATAGTCTCCAAAAGTATGACGTCTTAATGTTTTTTCGGTGTTGATGCCGAGGCTCCCATTTGAAAGCGCCCGACAATAGATACTTCCGTTTTTAGTCTTTCTATCTCGAGCAGATACTCTTGTTTGCTTTTCTGCATCTCTTCTAGCTTAATTGCCTGCTTTTTGAGCCGAGTTTCGAGATCGCGAGTCAAGTTCTGATATCCTTGAAGTGCCTCTTCTGTAGCTGACAAGATGTTTACTTTCGGTTTATTTTTGACAGTTTTAGTGCTTTGGGCGAATTCTAGTGTAGATCTAGTCTCCTCCTCTGCAGCTAAAGTAACATTCCCGATAATCAATGATTTGGCATTACCGCCAAGAGCCTGTGAGAGCAGTCTAGTCAATTTCGAATCGCGATAACTGATAAACTCCTTCCCCTCGCTTAGTTGCCTTATCACATTTCCTAATACTGACAAAGATTTGTTTATGTTAGCCCCCTCTTTAAGACGCTCACCAGCAGCTTTCGTCAGAGAAACTCTCTCAGAACCAGCTAAGTCCATTAAGTTAAGGTAGCTTATATGTACAGGTCCATCTTTCTGATTGGCATCTTTCGACTCCAGAATAATCCGGAAAATCGTGTGTGATCGAGATGACCTCTCATTCATGCGAGTAGCTGCAACTCGTCTGATCTTATTGCCCTGCATCATGTTCTCCATAACTTTATCAACATTGTCTACGACAGCTTCCCTTGCATCAAGCAGCACATTTCCTTTGATATCTTCTCTTATAGTTAAACCCTGATTGCTCTTATCCAGGAGGTCATTGATCTTTTCATTGTAGATTTCAATATAACTGCATCTAATCAAGTACCTCTTATCAACCTGGTCTGCCACATGCTGGAATAACTGATTGGATACTAATTGGAAAAGCCCAGGATCTGTTTTATTGCCCAAAATGGTGTGTGTTTTGCCAGAAGATGTTTGGCCATATGCAAATATTGTGGCATTGAAACCTTCCATGAAGGAATCGACTAAAGGTTTTACTACAGATCCATATACATCTGAATTTGTACATTCCTGGTTAATATATGGTCGAATATATAAACCTCTCCATGGCGACTACTTTCATCGGCTTCCCATATGCAGTTTTTCTCTTACGTTCCAAAGACGCTCTAGACCATCGGCTACTTCGCGGTGGATCATTGGTCTGATCTTTGTGGCTACTTTAATATTGTTGGAAGTCATTTTGGAAGCTTGGACTGAAATTTAATTAGAACTAGGGCTATTTCACGGGTTATAAAGAGGGGCAGATGTATCAGGTTGATACATTCTTTTTTCCTCCTTTCCAGTATAGAAGATTTTTTTCTCTTGTAGGCTATGAATGCGGTCCGATAGTTTAGTAGAGCTACATTTACAGGGTGACTCAAAATCAAAGAAGAAACAGAATTGTTAAATTTTATATAGACTGTTATTGTTATTACAAAAAGAAGTTGAAGCAGCAGCAAATTCTCACAAATCTATAGATCCATCACTTTCAGCACCCGATTTTCAACTTGAAAAATGCAGCTCGGTGAAGAATCACAAGGTAACTGTTGTCTATTCAGACAATACTCTTCTAAAAGCAACGCGAAATTTCCTAGTGCCTTACATGAATCGCCTTCATAATTCTTCATTATTGTCAATGGAAAACTGAAATTGTTGATTATTACAGTTTTTAATGCTGCAAATAAGCAGATGGGTTCGTGTTGGAAATCCCACGTCTAATCTCGCAAAACAGGTTATCCACCGGATCTTACTATCAACTTCTGAAATGCCATTACTGTTTTTAGCCATGTGTACAACAGGTTTGTACGCATAAAACACTCTTACATGAAAACTGTTTATTGTCTAAAGACGAAAATACCCCATTTGAAGACGAGTAATGCAATAAATATAATTTACGAAACTTGAACTGTAATATGAACATAAATAAACTAACAAAATGGGCCATCTAACAACATACATATTGGTGTTGATATTCTACAACAAAAACAAATACTTTCTCGTATAATTCACATTTATCACTTTTCACGAAACAATGTAGCTGCGCTGTGACTTTACATACTTATTACAGACTGTAGAACATTTTTTTCATTGTATATTGTCATGTAACACCTACGTCGTTTTTTCCCTTTAACAACTGCATCAGGATCGAGAACTCTGGGCTGAGAAGTAGACGACTTACTTTATTAGTCGTTGGTAATTTAGGATTCCTTGCATGGCTGAACGAAGCTCCCTAGGAAGTCTTGGATCTGATAAATGTCCTCTCATACGAAGTTAAATTAGAGTTTGCCTCAGGGGAACAATAAAATTTCGTCGCCTAATAGAACTTTCAGTCCCAGACTGAAAAAAAGGAATTTACAGAAGCTAGTTGGATACCAAATAGCACAAGGCCATCTTCTCGTTCTCTAACCAGTATTGTAATTTACACACTTCCGATCTAATGCATTACCCCCCGCCTTCATAGTGTTATAAAAATAATATAGAATCTTATCAGGTTTCTTTGATTCCTCTACTATTTTGTTATCATGCTGCATAGATTGCTATACGAGAACATGTGTATTGGTTTTGGAAGATACTACTCTAAGGCTGTAGTGCTAGTGAACATAAACTTAGAAGTACCTGGCTGTGTTTCCTTCTTATTTGGAACTACATGTTGGGGTACTTGTTACTTATTTTTACGCTTCCTGCCGACATAGGTCAGTTGGTTGATTCGCAATTCTACATGTAATTCTACTGACGTGAACCAGTCATCTGCTGTGATATTTCTGTTCGTATAGACGAAAGTATTGAGCAGGTAGTGGTGAGTCTTTGCATCATCAGTCCATACTTATTCGGTTTAGTTTTCCTGTAGGCACAGGAAGGACATCGGCCCTCGAGCATCTCGTATTTGTAGGGGACTCACCCGAAATATAACAATTTCGACAGTTCTCTATGAGTGTCTAGAAAATTTCTCGTATTTGGAGAAATTTATCTGCATTTCTCGAATCACAGGGTTATTATTTTCCAAATTGGTTGCCACGGACTTTAGTTCAGGTAAATAATATTGTCGTCCATCAGACTCTTTGCGTCATTTCTCAGTTTAGATTCAAGTTCTTTTAGGAAGCCAATTTCATCTTGCAGTTCAGCAATGTGTGACATCGTTACATCAGTTTGTGTAGCAGCACTTAAAGAAACTTGCATATCTTCGTACTCAGCGTCAAGCATAGCTTCTAAGTCTGCAACCTTCTTTTTTGACTCAATATTTTGAGCTTCAAGAGATAGTTTAGGGCTCTCTGATCTTCCTAGGTTCTTCAGTTGACTACGCAGCATCTCTATTTCTGACTCGTATGTTTTTAGTCTTTTTATAATTTTTTTCCAGAAAATCGAGTCTGTGTTGCAAGTCGATGAAATTCTTGCGCTTTTTGAGAATTTTTTTGAACCCTTTCTATTTCTTCATTGTACGCATCCGTTACTTGGCGGAGTTCCTGACTGTAACGATCGATTTTAGAATTGGCTTCTGTGAGCTGTTTCTTCAGGTCCAAAATCTCCAGCTGATTATCTAGTTTAGTGAATTCTCTAAGCACATTGAAAGATTCTTCCAGTTCTTGGAGTTGTCTTTTAAGCACACTTGCAGGCACGTCTTCAGCTATCACAGATTCTGCTTCGGCTAGTGCCTCCTCATATGTCTCTTTTGAATAGGCCTCATTTCACGTCCGGATGATTCTTCTTCGGGTGGATAATTTTTCAATGGCATATACCGTAGGGATGCTTTTTTAGGTGATACGTTGCCATAGTCTCCAAAAGTATGACGTCTTAATGTTTTTTTCGGTGTTGATGCCGAGGCTCCCATTTGAAAGCGCCCGACAATAGATACTTCCGTTTTAGTCTTTCTATCTCGAGCAGATACTCTTGTTTGCTTTTCTGCATCTCTTCTAGCTTAATTGCCTGCTTTTTGAGCCGAGTTCGAGATCGCGAGTCAAGTTCTGATATCCTTGAAGTGCCTCTTCTGTAGCTGACAAGATGTTTACTTTCGGTTTATTTTTGACAGTTTTAGTGCTTTGGGCGAATTCTAGTGTAGATCTAGTCTCCTCCTCTGCAGCTAAAGTAACATTCCCGATAATCAATGATTTGGCATTACCGCCAAGAGCCTGTGAGAGCAGTCTAGTCAATTTCGAATCGCGATAACTGATAAACTCCTTCCCCTCGCTTAGTTGCCTTATCACATTTCCTAATACTGACAAAGATTTGTTTATGTTAGCCCCCTCTTTAAGACGCTCACCAGCAGCTTTCGTCAGAGAAACTCTCTCAGAACCAGCTAAGTCCATTAAGTTAAGGTAGCTTATATGTACAGGTCCATCTTTCTGATTGGCATCTTTCGACTCCAGAATAATCCGGAAAATCGTGTGTGATCGAGATGACCTCTCATTTATGCGAGTAGCTGCAACTCGTCTGATCTTATTGCCCTGCATCATGTTCTCCATAACTTGATCAACATTGTCTACGACAGCTTCCCTTGCATCAAGCAGCACATTTCCTTTGATATCTTCTCTTATAGTTAAACCCTGATTGCTCTTATCCAGGAGGTCATTGATCTTTTCATTGTAGATTTCAATATAACTGCATCCAATCAAGTACCTCTTATCAACCTGGTCTGCCACATGCTGGAATAACTGATTGGATACTAATTGGAAAAGCCCAGGATCTGTTTTATTGCCCAAAATGGTGTGTGTTTTGCCAGAAGATGTTTGGCCATATGCAAATATTGTGGCATTGAAACCTTCCATGAAGGAATCGACTAAAGGTTTTACTACAGATCCATATACATCTGAATTTGTACATTCCTGGTTAAATATATGGTCGAATATATAAACCTCTCCATGGCGACTACTTTCATCGGCTTCCCATATGCAGTTTTCTCTTACGTTCCAAAGACGCTCTAGACCATCGGCTACTTCGCGGTGGATCATTGGTCTGATCTTTATGGCTACTTTAATATTGTCGGAAGTCATTTTGGAAGCTTGGACTGAAATTTAATTAGAACTAGGGCTATTTCACGGGTTATAAAGAGGGGCAGATGTATCAGGTTGATACATTCTTTTTTCCTCCTTTCCAGTATAGAAGATTTTTTTCTCTTGTAGGCTATGAATGCGGTCCGATAGTTTAGTAGAGCTACACTTACAGGGTGACTCAAAATCAAAGAAGGACCAGAATTGTTAAATTTTATATAGACTGTTATTGTTATTACAAAAAGAAGTTGAAGAAGCAGCAAATTCTCACAAATCTATAGATCCATCACTTTCAGCACCCGATTTTTCAACTTGAAAAATGCAGCTCGGTGAAAAATCACAAGGTAACTGTTGTCTATTCAGACAATACTCTTCTAAAAGCAACGCGAAGTTACCTAGTGCCTTACATGAATCGCCTTCATAATTCTTCATTATTGTCAATGGAAAACTGAAATTGTTGATTATTACAGTTTTTAATGCTGCAAATAAGCAGATGGGGTTCGTGTTGGAAATCCCACGTCTAATCTCGCAAAACAGGTTATCCACCGGATCTTACTATCAACTTCTGAAATGCCATTACTGTTTTTAGCCATGTGTACAACAGGTTTGTACGCATAAGACACTCTTACATGAAAACTGTTTATTGTCTAAAAACGAAAATACCCCATTTGAAGATGATTAATGCAATAAATATAATTTACGAAGCTTGAACTGTAATATGAACATAAAAAAACTAACAAAATGGGCCATTTAACAACATACTTGGTGTTGATATTCTACAAAAAAAACAAATACTTTCTCGTATAAGGAAACGTACAATAATTCACATTTATCACTTTTCACGAAACAATGTAACTGCGCTGTGACTTTACATACTTATTACAGATTGTAGAACATTTTTTTCATTGTGTATTGTCATGTAACACCTACGTCGTTTTTTTTCTTTAACAACTGCATCAGGATCGAGAACTCTGGGCTGAGAAGTAGACGGCTTACTTTATTCGTCGTTGGTAATTTAGGATTCTTTGCATGGCTGAACGAAGCTCCCTAGGAAGTCTTGGATCTGATAAACGTCCTCTCATACGAAGTTAAATTAGAGTTTGCCTCAGGGGAACAATAAAATTTCGTCGCCTAATGGAACTTTCAGTCCCAGACTGAAAAAAAAAGGAATTTACAGAAGCTGGTTGGATACCAAATAGCACAAGGCCATCTTCTCGTTCTCTAACCAGTATTGTAATATACACACTTCCGATCTAATGCATTACCCCCGCCTTCATAGTGTTATAAAAATAATATAGGATCTTATCAGGTTTCTTTGATTCCTCTACTATTTTGTTATCATGCTGCATAGATTGCTATACGAGAACATGTGTATTTGGTTTTGGAAGATACTACTCTAAGGCTGTACAACATAAACTTAGAAGTACCTGGCTGTGTTTCCTTCTTATTTGGAACTACATGTTGGGGTACTTGTTACTTATTTTTACGCTTCCTGCCGACATAGGTCAGTTGGTTGATGCGCAATTCTACATGTAATTCTACTGACGTGAACCAGTCATCTGCTGTGATATTTCTGTTCGTATAGACGAAAGCATTGAGCAGGTAGTGGTGAGTCTTTGCATCATCAGTCCATACTTATTCGGTTTAGTTTTCTTGTAGGCACAGGAAGGACATCGGCCCACGAGCATCTCGTATTTTGTAGGGGACTCACCCGAAATATAACAATTTCGACAGTTCTCTATGAGTGTCTCGAAAATTTCACGTATTTGGAGAAATTTATCGGCATTTCTCGAGTCACAGGGTTATTATTTTCCAAATTGGTTGCCACGGACTTTAGTTCAGGTAAATGCGTAATAATCGACCAGTTGCAGGCGCTCGTTTTGACCAATTGTACATGTTTTTTCCATAGGCATAGCGAGGTCGCCCATAGGAAGTTGTTCAGGTTGATCGATAGCATCGTCGTCCTCGGCGTAGTCTATAGTGTATTGTTCATCCGTCAACAACGAAAAAATCCATTGTGAAGGAAGTTCAAATCGTACACGCAACTGACATCCTCGGATCAAATTTGACCGCAAAGTCAACAAACCAACAATTGTGATGTTTAAATTAAACTGTGGTTTGAGGTATACGTGCTCATACCGTATGAGAAGTCACGGGACCCCCACCACATAACTGAGAAAGCTCGAATCATCCGACGATATCATTAAAGGATTAATTTCTATATTCTTGAAAGAATCTATAAAATCAAAGTGGCTGGGTTTCAATTTACATAGCTCTTTGTATGGTCTTGTTTGCTGATCAACATTATATGACTTCTAGACATGTTCAATCTGTGCAGCTTCTTCACTTTCATATTAATGTCAATAAGAGCATTTCATCCATTTTTGAATAAATGTGGTTCATCACAAATTGTAGAAATACTCTGAGCATTGACTATAAAATGGAATGGACTTGATCCGTGAGTATTCTCCGAGCAAATCGTCTCAAGTGCGTTTTTGATCGTTGCGCCCTGATTAGAAATAGTGCCAACAACGCACAAACCAAGTCGCTGCTAGTTTGTGATCACATGAACAATAATCGTTTTCAGATCTGGGATTCTTGTATCTTTTACTAGATAATAAGCCACAACCTGCTTATAATTTTTACGAATCCCTCTTATCATGGAAGTAAGGGCATGATTTCTGATAAATCACTTTTTCAGAGTTCTAGTTGATTTTGTTACCTCAGAATTCAAGATTTATTAGCTGAAAATTGTACACTGTGAGCACTGGGATCAGCCCTAAACTTTGTCCAAACCCTGCAATAATCGTAAACACTAAACAAGGGTAGACATATTTCTAGTTTAACTGCCTGAAGATTTTCTCTATGGTTTATACGTAACGCTCCACCTATTATCTCATTTTTGTACATGTTCTGGGAGAACTCAACTTGCTCCCTATAAAATGCAACGTCTTCCTGCACAGGTGGTTCTGGTTAAGTGCCAGCCTGCTTCGGGTTTGTAATTAGTTGTTGCAATTTTCTGATTTCGTCGTCCTTTTTCATAATCCAGATTTCGTTTTGGCATTCCAGTTCAGCCATTTGATCCTGAAGCTCTTTTATAGTAGACTCATTATGGCATCGTATATCTGAGATTTTAAATGAGTGGTTGACCTCACGTTGGTTACTCTCGTCCATCAGACTCTTTACGTCATTTCTCAGTTTAGATTCAAGTTCTTTTAGGAAGCCAATTTCATCTTGCAGTTCAGCAATGTGTGACATCGTTACATCAGTTTGTGCAGCAGCACTTAAAGAATGTTGCATATCTTCGTACTCAGCGTCAAGTCTGCAACCTTCTTTTTTGACTCAATATTTTGAGCTTCAAGAGATGGTTTAGGGCTCTCTGATCTTCCTAGGTTCTTCAGTTGAGTACGCGGCATCTCTATTTCTGACTCGTATGTTTTTAGTCTTTTTATTATTTTTTTCCAGAAAATCGAGTCTGTATTGCAAGTCGATGAAATTCTTGCGCTTTTTGAGAATTTTTTTGAACTCTTTCTATTTCTTCGTTGTACGCATCCGTTACTTGGCGGAGTTCCTGACTGTAACGATCGATTTTAGAATTGGCTTCTGTGAGCTGTTTCTTCAGGTCCAAAATCTCCAGCTGATTATCTAGTTTAGTGAATTCTCTAAGCTCATTGAAAGATTCTTCCAGTTCTTTGAGTTGTCTTTTAAGTACACTTGCACGTCTTCAGCTATCACAGATTCTGCTTCGGCTAGTGCCTCCTCATATGTCTCTTCTTGAATAGGCCTCATTTCACGTCCGGATGATTCTTCTTTGGGTGGATAATTTCTCAATGGCATATACCCTAGGGATGCTTTTTTAGGTGATACGTTGCCATAGTGTCCAAAAGTATGACGTCTTAATGTTTTTTTCGGTGTTGATGCCGAGGCTCCCATTTGAAAGCGCCCGACAATAGATACTTCCGTTTTTAGTCTTTCTATCTCGAGCAGATACTCTTGTTTGCTTTTATCCATCTCTTTTAGCTTAATTGCCTGCTTTTTGAGCCGAGTTTCGAGATCGCGAGTCAAGTTCTGATATCCTTGAAGTGTCTCTTCTGTAGCTGACAAGATGTTTACTTTCGTTTTATTTTTGACAGTTTTAGTGCTTTGGGCGAATTCTGGTGTAGATCTAGTCTCCTCCTCTGCAGCTAAAGTAACATTCCCGATAATCAATGATTTGGCATTACCGCCAAGAGCCTGTGAGAGCAGTCTAGTCAATTTCGAATCGCGATAACTGATAAACTCCTTCCCCTCGCTTAGTTGCCTTATCACATTTCCTAATACTGACAAAGATTTGTTTATGTTAGCCCCCTCTTTAAGACGCTCACCAGCAGCTTTCGTCAGAGAAACTCTCTCAGAACCAGCTAAGTCCATTAAGTTAAGGTAGCTTATATGTACAGGTCCATCTTTCTGATTGGCATCTTTCGACTCCAGAATAATCCGGAAAATCGTGTGTGATCGAGATGACCTCTCATTCATGCGAGTAGCTGCAACTCGTCTGATCTTATTGCCCTGCATCATGTTCTCCATAACTTTATCAACATTGTCTACGACAGCTTCCCTTGCATCAAGCAGCACATTTCCTTTGATATCTTCTCTTATAGTTAAACCCTGATTGCTCTTATCCAGGAGGTCATTGATCTTTTCATTGTAGATTTCAATATAACTGCATCTAATCAAGTACCTCTTATCAACCTGGTCTGCCACATGCTGGAATAACTGATTGGATACTAATTGGAAAAGCCCAGGATCTGTTTTATTGCCCAAAATGGTGTGTGTTTTGCCAGAAGATGTTTGGCCATATGCAAATATTGTGGCATTGAAACCTTCCATGAAGGAATCGACTAAAGGTTTTACTACAGATCCATATACATCTGAATTTGTACATTCCTGATTAAATACATGGTCGAATATATAAACCTCTCCATGGCGACTACTTTCATCGGCTTCCCATATGCAGTTTACTCTTACGTTCCAAAGACGCTCTAGACCATCGGCTACTTCGCGGTGGATCATTGGTCTGATCTTTGTGGCTACTTTAATATTGTTGGAAGTCATTTTGGAAGCTTGAACTGAAATTTAATTAGAACTAGGGCTATTTCACGGGTTATAAAGAGGGGCAGATGTATCAGGTTGATACTTTCTTTTTTTCCTCCTTTCCAGTATAGAAGATTTTTTTCTCTTGTAGGCTATGAATGCGGTCCGATAGTTTAGTAGAGCTACATTTACAGGGTGACTCAAAATCAAAGAAGAAACTGAATTGTTAAATTTCATATAGACTGTTATTGTTATTACAAAAAGAAGTTGAAGCAGCAGCAAATTCTCACAAATCTATAGATCCATCACTTTCAGCACCCGATTTTTCAACTTGAAAAATGCAGCTCGGTGAAGAATCACAAGGTAACTGTTGTCTATTCAGACAATACTCTTCTAAAAGCAACGCGAAATTTCCTAGTGCCTTACATGAATCGCCTTCATAATTCTTCATTATTGTCAATGGAAAACTGAAATTGTTGATTATTACAGTTTTTAATGCTGCAAATAAGCAGATGGGGTTCGTGTTGGAAATCCCACGTCTAATCTCGCAAAACAGGTTATCCACCGGATCTTACTATCAACATCTGAAATGCCATTACTGTTTTTAGCCATGTGTACAACAGGTTTGTACGCATAAGACACTCTTACATGAAAACTGTTTATTGTCTAAAAACGAAAATACCCCATTGAAGATGAGTAATGCAATAAATATAATCCTCGAAACTTGAACTGTAATATGAACATAAAAAACTAACAAAATGGGCCATTTAACAACATATTTGGTGTTGATATTCTACAACAAAAACAAATACTTTCTCGTATAAGGAAACATACAATAATTAACATTTATCACTTTTCACGAAACAATGTAAGTGCGCTGTGACTTTACATACTTATTACAGATTGTAGAACATTTTTTTCATTGTGTATTGTCATGTAACACCTACGTCGTTTTTTTTCTTTAACAACTGCATCAGGATCGAGAACTCTGGGCTGAGAAGTAGACGGCTTACTTTATTCGTCGTTGGTAATTTAGGATTCTTTGCATGGCTGAACGAAGCTCCCTAGGAAGTCTTGGATCTGATAAACGTCCTCTCATATGAAGTTAAATTAGAGTTTGCCTCAGGGGAACAATAAAATTTCGTCGCCTAATGGAACTTTCAGTCCCAGACTGAAAAAAAAAGGAATTTACAGAAGCTGGTTGGATACCAAATAGCACAAGGCCATCTTCTCGTTCTCTAACCAGTATTGTAATTTACACACTTCCGATCTAATGCATTACCCCCCGCCTTCATAGTGTTATAAAAATAATATAGGATCTTATCAGGTTTCTTTGATTCCTCTACTATTTTGTTATCATGCTGCATAGATTGCTATACGAGAACATGTGTATTTGGTTTTGGAAGATACTACTCTAAGGCTGTACAACATAAACTTAGAAGTACCTGGCTGTGTTTCCTTCTTATTTGGAACTACATGTTGGGGTACTTGTTACTTATTTTTACGCTTCCTGCCGACATAGGTCAGTTGGTTGATTCGCAATTCTACATGTAATTCTACTGACGTGAACCAGTCATCTGCTGTGATATTTCTGTTCGTATAGACGAAAGTATTGAGCAGGTAGTGGTGAGTCTTTGCATCATCAGTCCATACTTATTCGGTTTAGTTTTACTGTAGGCACAGGAAGGACATCGGCCCTCGAGCATCTCGTATTTTGTAGGGGACTCACCCGAAATATAACAATTTCGACAGTTCTCTATGAGTGTCTAGAAAATTTCTCGTATTTGGAGAAATTTATCTGCATTTCTCGAGTCACAGGGTTATTATTTTCCAAATTGGTTGCCACGGACTTTAGTTCAGGTAAATAATATTGTCGTCCATCAGACTTTGCGTCATTTCTCAGTTTAGATTCAAGTTCTTTTAGGAAGCCAATTTCATCTTGCAGTTCAGCAATGTGTGACATCGTTACATCAGTTTGTGTAGCAGCACTTAAAGAAACTTGCATATCTTCGTACTCAGCGTCAAGCATAGCTTCTAAGTCTGCAACCTTCTTTTTTGACTCAATATTTTGAGCTTCAAGAGATAGTTTAGGGCTCTCTGATCTTCCTAGGTTCTTCAGTTGACTACGCAGCATCTCTATTTCTGACTCGTATGTTTTTAGTCTTTTTATAATTTTTTTCCAGAAAATCGAGTCTGTGTTGCAAGTCGATGAAATTCTTGCGCTTTTTGAGAATTTTTTTGAACCCTTTCTATTTCTTCATTGTACGCATCCGTTACTTGGCGGAGTTCCTGACTGTAACGATCGATTTTAGAATTGGCTTCTGTGAGCTGTTTCTTCAGGTCCAAAATCTCCAGCTGATTATCTAGTTTAGTGAATTCTCTAAGCACATTGAAAGATTCTTCCAGTTCTTGGAGTTGTCTTTTAAGCACACTTGCAGGCACGTCTTCAGCTATCACAGATTCTGCTTCGGCTAGTGCCTCCTCATATGTCTCTTTTTGAATAGGCCTCATTTCACGTCCGGATGATTCTTCTTCGGGTGGATAATTTTTCAATGGCATATACCGTAGGGATGCTTTTTTAGGTGATACGTTGCCATAGTCTCCAAAAGTATGACGTCTTAATGTTTTTTTCGGTGTTGATGCCGAGGCTCCCATTTGAAAGCGCCCGACAATAGATACTTCCGTTTTTAGTCTTTCTATCTCGAGCAGATACTCTTGTTTGCTTTTCTGCATCTCTTCTAGCTTAATTGCCTGCTTTTTGAGCCGAGTTTCGAGATCGCGAGTCAAGTTCTGATATCCTTGAAGTGCCTCTTCTGTAGCTGACAAGATGTTTACTTTCGGTTTATTTTTGACAGTTTTAGTGCTTTGGGCGAATTCTAGTGTAGATCTAGTCTCCTCCTCTGCAGCTAAAGTAACATTCCCGATAATCAATGATTTGGCATTACCGCCAAGAGCCTGTGAGAGCAGTCTAGTCAATTTCGAATCGCGATAACTGATAAACTCCTTCCCCTCGCTTAGTTGCCTTATCACATTTCCTAATACTGACAAAGATTTGTTTATGTTAGCCCCCTCTTTAAGACGCTCACCAGCAGCTTTCGTCAGAGAAACTCTCTCAGAACCAGCTAAGTCCATTAAGTTAAGGTAGCTTATATGTACAGGTCCATCTTTCTGATTGGCATCTTTCGACTCCAGAATAATCCGGAAAATCGTGTGTGATCGAGATGACCTCTCATTCATGCGAGTAGCTGCAACTCGTCTGATCTTATTGCCCTGCATCATGTTCTCCATAACTTTATCAACATTGTCTACGACAGCTTCCCTTGCATCAAGCAGCACATTTCCTTTGATATCTTCTCTTATAGTTAAACCCTGATTGCTCTTATCCAGGAGGTCATTGATCTTTTCATTGTAGATTTCAATATAACTGCATCTAATCAAGTACCTCTTATCAACCTGGTCTGCCACATGCTGGAATAACTGATTGGATACTAATTGGAAAAGCCCAGGATCTGTTTTATTGCCCAAAATGGTGTGTGTTTTGCCAGAAGATGTTTGGCCATATGCAAATATTGTGGCATTGAAACCTTCCATGAAGGAATCGACTAAAGGTTTTACTACAGATCCATATACATCTGAATTTGTACATTCCTGGTTAAATATATGGTCGAATATATAAACCTCTCCATGGCGACTACTTTCATCGGCTTCCCATATGCAGTTTTCTCTTACGTTCCAAAGACGCTCTAGACCATCGGCTACTTCGCGGTGGATCATTGGTCTGATCTTTATGGCTACTTTAATATTGTCGGAAGTCATTTTGGAAGCTTGGACTGAAATTTAATTAGAACTAGGGCTATTTCACGGGTTATAAAGAGGGGCAGATGTATCAGGTCGATACATTCTTTTTTCCTCCTTTCCAGTATAGAAGATTTTTTTCTCTTGTAGGCTATGAATGCGGTCCGATAGTTTAGTAGAGCTACATTTACAGGGTGACTCAAAATCAAAGAAGAAACAGAATTGTTAAATTTTATATAGACTGTTATTGTTATTACAAAAAGAAGTTGAAGCAGCAGCAAATTCTCACAAATCTATAGATCCATCACTTTCAGCACCCGATTTTTCAACTTGAAAAATGCAGCTCGGTAAAGAATCACAAGGTAACTGTTGTCTATTCAGACAATACTCTTCTAAAAGCAACGCGAAATTTCCTAGTGCCTTACATGAATCGCCTTCATAATTCTTCATTATTGTCAATGGAAAACTGAAATTGTTGATTATTACAGTTTTTAATGCTGCAAATAAGCAGATGGGGTTCGTGTTGGAAATCCCACGTCTAATCTCGCAAAACAGGTTATCCACCGGATCTTACTATCAACTTCTGAAATGCCATTACTGTTTTTAGCCATGTGTACAACAGGTTTGTACGCATAAAACACTCTTACATGAAAACTGTTTATTGTCTAAAGACGAAAATACCCCATTTGAAGACGAGTAATGCAATAAATATAATTTACGAAACTTGAACTGTAATATGAACATAAATAAACTAACAAAATGGGCCATCTAACAACATACATATTTGGTGTTGATATTCTACAACAAAAACAAATACTTTCTCGTATAATTCACATTTATCACTTTTCACGAACAATGTAGCTGCGCTGTGACTTTACATACTTATTACAGACTGTAGAACATTTTTTTCATTGTATATTGTCATGTAACACCTACGTCGTTTTTTCCCTTTAACAACTGCATCAGGATCGAGAACTCTGGGCTGAGAAGTAGACGACTTACTTTATTAGTCGTTGGTAATTTAGGATTCCTTGCATGGCTGAACGAAGCTCCCTAGGAAGTCTTGGATCTGATAAATGTCCTCTCATACGAAGTTAAATTAGAGTTTGCCTCAGGGGAACAATAAAATTTCGTCGCCTAATAGAACTTTCAGTCCCAGACTGAAAAAAAGGAATTTACAGAAGCTAGTTGGATACCAAATAGCACAAGGCCATCTTCTCGTTCTCTAACCAGTATTGTAATTTACACACTTCCGATCTAATGCATTACCCCCCGCCTTCATAGTGTTATAAAAATAATATAGAATCTTATCAGGTTTCTTTGATTCCTCTACTATTTTGTTATCATGCTGCATAGATTGCTATACGAGAACATGTGTACTTGGTTTTGGAAGATACTACTCTAAGGCTGTAGTGCTAGTGAACATAAACTTAGAAGTACCTGGCTGTGTTTCCTTCTTATTTGGAACTACATGTTGGGGTACTTGTTACTTATTTTTACGCTTCCTGCCGACATAGGTCAGTTGGTTGATTCGCAATTCTACATGTAATTCTACTGACGTGAACCAGTCATCTGCTGTGATATTTCTGTTCGTATAGACGAAAGTATTGAGCAGGTAGTGGTGAGTCTTTGCATCATCAGTCCATACTTATTCGGTTTAGTTTTACTGTAGGCACAGGAAGGACATCGGCCCTCGAGCATCTCGTATTTTGTAGGGGACTCACCCGAAATATAACAATTTCGACAGTTCTCTATGAGTGTCTAGAAAATTTCTCGTATTTGGAGAAATTTATCTGCATTTCTCGAGTCACAGGGTTATTATTTTCCAAATTGGTTGCCACGGACTTTAGTTCAGGTAAATAATATTGTCGTCCATCAGACTCTTTGCGTCATTTCTCAGTTTAGATTCAAGTTCTTTTAGGAAGCCAATTTCATCTTGCAGTTCAGCAATGTGTGACATCGTTACATCAGTTTGTGTAGCAGCACTTAAAGAAACTTGCATATCTTCGTACTCAGCGTCAAGCATAGCTTCTAAGTCTGCAACCTTCTTTTTTGACTCAATATTTTGAGCTTCAAGAGATAGTTTAGGGCTCTCTGATCTTCCTAGGTTCTTCAGTTGACTACGCAGCATCTCTATTTCTGACTCGTATGTTTTTAGTCTTTTTATAATTTTTTTCCAGAAAATCGAGTCTGTGTTGCAAGTCGATGAAATTCTTGCGCTTTTTGAGAATTTTTTTGAACCCTTTCTATTTCTTCATTGTACGCATCCGTTACTTGGCGGAGCTCCTGACTGTAACGATCGATTTTAGAATTGGCTTCTGTGAGCTGTTTCTTCAGGTCCAAAATCTCCAGCTGATTATCTAGTTTAGTGAATTCTCTAAGCACATTGAAAGATTCTTCCAGTTCTTGGAGTTGTCTTTTAAGCACACTTGCAGGCACGTCTTCAGCTATCACAGATTCTGCTTCGGCTAGTGCCTCCTCATATGTCTCTTTTGAATAGGCCTCATTTCACGTCCGGATGATTCTTCTTCGGGTGGATAATTTTTCAATGGCATATACCGTAGGGATGCTTTTTTAGGTGATACGTTGCCATAGTCTCCAAAAGTATGACGTCTTAATGTTTTTTTCGGTGTTGATGCCGAGGCTCCCATTTGAAAGCGCCCGACAATAGATACTTCCGTTTTTAGTCTTTCTATCTCGAGCAGATACTCTTGTTTGCTTTTCTGCATCTCTTCTAGCTTAATTGCCTGCTTTTTGAGCCGAGTTTCGAGATCGCGAGTCAAGTTCTGATATCCTTGAAGTGCCTCTTCTGTAGGTGACAAGATGTTTACTTTCGGTTTATTTTTGACAGTTTTAGTGCTTTGGGCGAATTCTAGTGTAGATCTAGTCTCCTCCTCTGCAGCTAAAGTAACATTCCCGATAATCAATGATTTGGCATTACCGCCAAGAGCCTGTGAGAGCAGTCTAGTCAATTTCGAATCGCGATAACTGATAAACTCCTTCCCCTCGCTTAGTTGCCTTATCACATTTCCTAATACTGACAAAGATTTGTTTATGTTAGCCCCCTCTTTAAGACGCTCACCAGCAGCTTTCGTCAGAGAAACTCTCTCAGAACCAGCTAAGTCCATTAAGTTAAGGTAGCTTATATGTACAGGTCCATCTTTCTGATTGGCATCTTTCGACTCCAGAATAATCCGGAAAATCGTGTGTGATCGAGATGACCTCTCATTCATGCGAGTAGCTGCAACTCGTCTGATCTTATTGCCCTGCATCATGTTCTCCATAACTTTATCAACATTGTCTACGACAGCTTCCCTTGCATCAAGCAGCACATTTCCTTTGATATCTTCTCTTATAGTTAAACCCTGATTGCTCTTATCCAGGAGGTCATTGATCTTTTCATTGTAGATTTCAATATAACTGCATCTAATCAAGTACCTCTTATCAACCTGGTCTGCCACATGCTGGAATAACTGATTGGATACTAATTGGAAAAGCCCAGGATCTGTTTTATTGCCCAAAATGGTGTGTGTTTTGCCAGAAGATGTTTGGCCATATGCAAATATTGTGGCATTGAAACCTTCCATGAAGGAATCGACTAAAGGTTTTACTACAGATCCATATACATCTGAATTTGTACATTCCTGGTTAAATATATGGTCGAATATATAAACCTCTCCATGGCGACTACTTTCATCGGCTTCCCATATGCAGTTTTCTCTTACGTTCCAAAGACGCTCTAGACCATCGGCTACTTCGCGGTGGATCATTGGTCTGATCTTTATGGCTACTTTAATATTGTCGGAAGTCATTTTGGAAGCTTGGACTGAAATTTAATTAGAACTAGGGCTATTTCACGGGTTATAAAGAGGGGCAGATGTATTAGGTCGATACATTCTTTTTTCCTCCTTTCCAGTATAGAAGATTTTTTTCTCTTGTAGGCTATGAATGCGGTCCGATAGTTTAGTAGAGCTACATTTACAGGGTGACTCAAAATCAAAGAAGGACCAGAATTGTTAAATTTTATATAGACTGTTATTGTTATTACAAAAAGAAGTTGAAGCAGCAGCAAATTCTCACAAATCTATAGATCCATCACTTTCAGCACCCGATTTTTCAACTTGAAAAATGCAGCTCGGTGAAAAATCACAAGGTAACTGTTGTCTATTCAGACAATACTCTTCTAAAAGCAACGCGAAGTTACCTAGTGCCTTACATGAATCGCCTTCATAATTCTTCATTATTGTCAATGGAAAACTGAAATTGTTGATTATTACAGTTTTTAATGCTGCAAATAAGCAGATGGGGTTCGTGTTGGAAATCCCACGTCTAATCTCGCAAAACAGGTTATCCACCGGATCTTACTATCAACTTCTGAAATGCCATTACTGTTTTTAGCCATGTGTACAACAGGTTTGTACGCATAAGACACTCTTACATGAAAACTGTTTATTGTCTAAAAACGAAAATACCCCATTTGAAGATGATTAATGCAATAAATATAATTTACGAAGCTTGAACTGTAATATGAACATAAAAAAACTAACAAAATGGGCCATTTAACAACATACTTGGTGTTGATATTCTACAAAAAAAACAAATACTTTCTCGTATAAGGAAACGTACAATAATTCACATTTATCACTTTTCACGAAACAATGTAACTGCGCTGTGACTTTACATACTTATTACAGATTGTAGAACATTTTTTTCATTGTGTATTGTCATGTAACACCTACGTCGTTTTTTTTCTTTAACAACTGCATCAGGATCGAGAACTCTGGGCTGAGAAGTAGACGGCTTACTTTATTCGTCGTTGGTAATTTAGGATTCTTTGCATGGCTGAACGAAGCTCCCTAGGAAGTCTTGGATCTGATAAACGTCCTCTCATACGAAGTTAAATTAGAGTTTGCCTCAGGGGAACAATAAAATTTCGTCGCCTAATGGAACTTTCAGTCCCAGACTGAAAAAAAAGGAATTTACAGAAGCTGGTTGGATACCAAATAGCACAAGGCCATCTTCTCGTTCTCTAACCAGTATTGTAATTTACACACTTCCGATCTAATGCATTACCCCCCGCCTTCATAGTGTTATAAAAATAATATAGGATCTTATCAGGTTTCTTTGATTCCTCTACTATTTTGTTATCATGCTGCATAGATTGCTATACGAGAACATGTGTATTTGGTTTTGGAAGATACTACTCTAAGGCTGTACAACATAAACTTAGAAGTACCTGGCTGTGTTTCCTTCTTATTTGGAACTACATGTTGGGGTACTTGTTACTTATTTTTACGCTTCCTGCCGACATAGGTCAGTTGGTTGATGCGCAATTCTACATGTAATTCTACTGACGTGAACCAGTCATCTGCTGTGATATTTCTGTTCGTATAGACGAAAGCATTGAGCAGGTAGTGGTGAGTCTTTGCATCATCAGTCCATACTTATTCGGTTTAGTTTTCTTGTAGGCACAGAAAGGACATCGGCCCACGAGCATCTCGTATTTTGTAGGGGACTCACCCGAAATATAACAATTTCGACAGTTCTCTATGAGTGTCTCGAAAATTTCACGTATTTGGAGAAATTTATCGGCATTTCTCGAGACACAGGGTTATTATTTTCCAAATTGGTTGCCACGGACTTTAGTTCAGGTAAATGCGTAATAATCGTCCAGTTGCAGGCGCTCGTTTTGACCAATTGTACATGTTTTTTCCATAGGCATAGCGAGGTCGCCCATAGGAAGTTGTTCAGGTTGATCGATAGCAGCGTCGTCCTCGGCGTAGTCTATAGTGTATTGTTCATCCGTCAACAACGAAAAAATCCATTGTGAAGGAAGTTCAAATCGTACACGCAACTGACATCCTCGGATCAAATTTGACCGCAAAGTCAACAAACCAACAATTGTGATGTTTAAATTAAACTGTGGTTTGAGGTATACGTGCTCATACCGTATGAGAAGTCACGGGACCCCCACCACATAACTGAGAAAGCTCGAATCATCCGACGATATCATTAAAGGATTAATTTCTATATTCTTGAAAGAATCTATAAAATCAAAGTGGCTGGGTTTCAATTTACATAGCTCTTTGTATGGTCTTGTTTGCTGATCAACATTATATGATTTCTAGACATGTTCAATCTGTGCAGCTTCTTCACTTTCATATTAATGTCAATAAGAGCATTTCATCCATTTTTGAATAAATGTGGTTCATCACAAATTGTAGAAATACTCTGAGCATTGACTATAAAATGGAATGGACTTGATCCGTGAGTATTCTCCGAGCAAATCGTCTCAAGTGCGTTTTTGATCGTTGCGCCCTGATTAGAAATAGTGCCAACAACGCACAAACCAAGTCGCTGCTAGTTTGTGATCACATGAACAATAATCGTTTTCAGATCTGGGATTCTTGTATCTTTTACTAGATAATAAGCCACAACCTGCTTATAATTTTTACGAATCCCTCTTATCATGGAAGTAAGGGCATGATTTCTGATAAATCACTTTTTCAGAGTTCTAGTTGATTTTGTTACCTCAGAATTCAAGATTTATTAGCTGAAAATTGTACACTGTGAGCACTGGGATCAGCCCTAAACTTTGTCCAAACCCTGCAATAATCGTAAACACTAAACAAGGGTAGACATATTTCTAGTTTAACTGCCTGAAGATTTTCTCTATGGTTTATACGTAACTCTCCACCTATTATCTCATTTTTGTACATGTTCTGGGAGAACTCAACTTGCTCCCTATAAAATGCAACGTCTTCCTGCACAGGTGGTTCTGGTTAAGTGCCAGCCTGCTTCGGGTTTGTAATTAGTTGTTGCAATTTTCTGATTTCGTCGTCCTTTTTCATAATCCAGATTTCGTTTTGGCATTCCAGTTCAGCCATTTGATCCTGAAGCTCTTTTATAGTAGAATCATTATGGCATCGTATATCTGAGATTTTAAATGAGTGGTTGACCTCACGTTGGTTACTCTCGTCCATCAGACTCTTTACGTCATTTCTCAGTTTAGATTCAAGTTCTTTTAGGAAGCCAATTTCATCTTGCAGTTCAGCAATGTGTGACATCGTTACATCAGTTTGTGCAGCAGCACTTAAAGAATGTTGCATATCTTCGTACTCAGCGTCAAGCATAGCTTCTAAGTCTGCAACCTTCTTTTTTGACTCAATATTTTGAGCTTCAAGAGATGGTTTAGGGCTCTCTGATCTTCCTAGGTTCTTCAGTTGAGTACGCGGCATCTCTATTTCTGACTCGTATGTTTTTAGTCTTTTTATTATTTTTTTCCAGAAAATCGAGTCTGTATTGCAAGTCGATGAAATTCTTGCGCTTTTTGAGAATTTTTTTGAACTCTTTCTATTTCTTCGTTGTACGCATCCGTTACTTGGCGGAGTTCCTGACTGTAACGATCGATTTTAGAATTGGCTTCTGTGAGCTGTTTCTTCAGGTCCAAAATCTCCAGCTGATTATCTAGTTTAGTGAATTCTCTAAGCTCATTGAAAGATTCTTCCAGTTCTTTGAGTTGTCTTTTAAGTACACTTGCACGTCTTCAGCTATCACAGATTCTGCTTCGGCTAGTGCCTCCTCATATGTCTCTTCTTGAATAGGCCTCATTTCACGTCCGGATGATTCTTCTTTGGGTGGATAATTTTTCAATGGCATATACCCTAGGGATGCTTTTTTAGGTGATACGTTGCCATAGTGTCCAAAAGTATGACGTCTTAATGTTTTTTTCGGTGTTGATGCCGAGGCTCCCATTTGAAAGCGCCCGACAATAGATACTTCCGTTTTTAGTCTTTCTATCTCGAGCAGATACTCTTGTTTGCTTTTATCCATCTCTTTTAGCTTAATTGCCTGCTTTTTGAGCCGAGTTTCGAGATCGCGAGTCAAGTTCTGATATCCTTGAAGTGTCTCTTCTGTAGCTGACAAGATGTTTACTTTCGTTTTATTTTTGACAGTTTTAGTGCTTTGGGCGAATTCTGGTGTAGATCTAGTCTCCTCCTCTGCAGCTAAAGTAACATTCCCGATAATCAATGATTTGGCATTACCGCCAAGAGCCTGTGAGAGCAGTCTAGTCAATTTCGAATCGCGATAACTGATAAACTCCTTCCCCTCGCTTAGTTGCCTTATCACATTTCCTAATACTGACAAAGATTTGTTTATGTTAGCCCCCTCTTTAAGACGCTCACCAGCAGCTTTCGTCAGAGAAACTCTCTCAGAACCAGCTAAGTCCATTAAGTTAAGGTAGCTTATATGTACAGGTCCATCTTCTGATTGGCATCTTTCGACTCCAGAATAATCCGGAAAATCGTGTGTGATCGAGATGACCTCTCATTCATGCGAGTAGCTGCAACTCGTCTGATCTTATTGCCCTGCATCATGTTCTCCATAACTTTATCAACATTGTCTACGACAGCTTCCCTTGCATCAAGCAGCACATTTCCTTTGATATCTTCTCTTATAGTTAAACCCTGATTGCTCTTATCCAGGAGGTCATTGATCTTTTCATTGTAGATTTCAATATAACTGCATCTAATCAAGTACCTCTTATCAACCTGGTCTGCCACATGCTGGAATAACTGATTGGATACTAATTGGAAAAGCCCAGGATCTGTTTTATTGCCCAAAATGGTGTGTGTTTTGCCAGAAGATGTTTGGCCATATGCAAATATTGTGGCATTGAAACCTTCCATGAAGGAATCGACTAAAGGTTTTACTACAGATCCATATACATCTGAATTTGTACATTCCTGCTTAAATACATGGTCGAATATATAAACCTCTCCATGGCGACTACTTTCATCGGCTTCCCATATGCAGTTTACTCTTACGTTCCAAAGACGCTCTAGACCATCGGCTACTTCGCGGTGGATCATTGGTCTGATCTTTGTGGCTACTTTAATATTGTCGGAAGTCATTTTGGAAGCTTGAACTGAAATTTAATTAGAACTAGGGCTATTTCACGGGTTATAAAGAGGGGCACTTTTCATAATCCAGATTTCGTTTTGGCATTCCAGTTCAGCCATTTGATCCTGAAGCTCTTTTATAGTAGAATCATTATGGCATCGTATATCTGAGATTTTAAATGAGTGGTTGACCTCACGTTGGTTACTCTCGTCCATCAGACTCTTTACGTCATTTCTCAGTTTAGATTCAAGTTCTTTTAGGAAGCCAATTTCATCTTGCAGTTCAGCAATGTGTGACATCGTTACATCAGTTTGTGTAGCAGCACTTAAAGAATCTTGCATATCTTCGTACTCAGCGTCAAGCATAGCTTCTAAGTCTGCAACCTTCTTTTTTGACTCAATATTTTGAGCTTCAAGAGATGGTTTAGGGCTCTCTGATCTTCCTAGGTTCTTCAGTTGAGTACGCAGCATCTCTATTTCTGACTCGTATGTTTTTAGTCTTTTATTATTTTTTTCCAGAAAATCGAGTCTGTATTGCAAGTCGATGAAATTCTTGCGCTTTTGAGAATTTTTTTGAACTCTTTCTATTTCTTCGTTGTACGCATCCGTTACTTGGCGGAGTTCCTGACTGTAACGATCGATTTTAGAATTGGCTTCTGTGAGCTGTTTCTTCAGGTCCAAAATCTCCAGCTGATTATCTAGTTTAGTGAATTCTCTAAGCTCATTGAAAGATTCTTCCAGTTCTTTGAGTTGTCTTTTAAGTACACTTGCACGTCTTCAGCTATCACAGATTCTGCTTCGGCTAGTGCCTCCTCATATGTCTCTTCTTGAATAGGCCTCATTTCACGTCCGGATGATTCTTCTTTGGGTGGATAATTTTTCAATGGCATATACCCTAGGGATGCTTTTTTAGGTGATACGTTGCCATAGTGTCCAAAAGTATGACGTCTTAATGTTTTTTTCGGTGTTGATGCCGAGGCTCCCATTTGAAAGCGCCCGACAATAGATACTTCCGTTTTTAGTCTTTCTATCTCGAGCAGATACTCTTGTTTGCTTTTATCCATCTCTTTTAGCTTAATTGCCTGCTTTTTGAGCCGAGTTTCGAGATCGCGAGTCAAGTTCTGATATCCTTGAAGTGTCTCTTCTGTAGCTGACAAGATGTTTACTTTCGTTTTATTTTTGACAGTTTTAGTGCTTTGGGCGAATTCTGGTGTAGATCTAGTCTCCTCCTCTGCAGCTAAAGTAACATTCCCGATAATCAATGATTTGGCATTACCGTCAAGAGCCTGTGAGAGCAGTCTAGTCAATTTCGAATCGCGATAACTGATAAACTCCTTCCCCTCGCTTAGTTGCCTTATCACATTTCCTAATACTGACAAAGATTTGTTTATGTTAGCCCCCTCTTTAAGACGCTCACCAGCAGCTTTCGTCAGAGAAACTCTCTCAGAACCAGCTAAGTCCATTAAGTTAAGGTAGCTTATATGTACAGGTCCATCTTTCTGATTGGCATCTTTCGACTCCAGAATAATCCGGAAAATCGTGTGTGATCGAGATGACCTCTCATTCATGCGAGTAGCTGCAACTCGTCTGATCTTATTGCCCTGCATCATGTTCTCCATAACTTTATCAACATTGTCTACGACAGCTTCCCTTGCATCAAGCAGCACATTTCCTTTGATATCTTCTCTTATAGTTAAACCCTGATTGCTCTTATCCAGGAGGTCATTGATCTTTTCATTGTAGATTTCAATATAACTGCATCTAATCAAGTACCTCTTATCAACCTGGTCTGCCACATGCTGGAATAACTGATTGGATACTAATTGGAAAAGCCCAGGATCTGTTTTATTGCCCAAAATGGTGTGTGTTTTGCCAGAAGATGTTTGGCCATATGCAAATATTGTGGCATTGAAACCTTCCATGAAGGAATCGACTAAAGGTTTTACTACAGATCCATATACATCTGAATTTGTACATTCCTGATTAAATACATGGTCGAATATATAACCTCTCCATGGCGACTACTTTCATCGGCTTCCCATATGCAGTTTACTCTTACGTTCCAAAGACGCTCTAGACCATCGGCTACTTCGCGGTGGATCATTGGTCTGATCTTTGTGGCTACTTTAATATTGTTGGAAGTCATTTTGGAAGCTTGAACTGAAATTTAATTAGAACTAGGGCTATTTCACGGGTTATAAAGAGGGGCAGATGTATCAGGTTGATACATTCTTTTTTTCCTCCTTTCCAGTATAGAAGATTTTTTTCTCTTGTAGGCTATGAATGCGGTCCGATAGTTTAGTAGAGCTACATTTACAGGGTGACTCAAAATCAAAGAAGAAACAGAATTGTTAAATTTCATATAGACTGTTATTGTTATTACAAAAAGAAGTTGAAGCAGCAGCAAATTCTCACAAATCTATAGATCCATCACTTTCAGCACCCGATTTTTCAACTTGAAAAATGCAGCTCGGTGAAGAATCACAAGGTAACTGTTGTCTATTCAGACAATACTCTTCTAAAAGCAACGCGAAATTTCTAGTGCCTTACATGAATCGCCTTCATAATTCTTCATTATTGTCAATGGAAAACTGAAATTGTTGATTATTACAGTTTTTAATGCTGCAAATAAGCAGATGGGGTTCGTGTTGGAAATCCCACGTCTAATCTCGCAAAACAGGTTATCCACCAGATCTTACTATCAACATCTGAAATGCCATTACTGTTTTTAGCCATGTGTACAACAGGTTTGTACGCATAAGACACTCTTACATGAAAACTGTTTATTGTCTAAAAACGAAAATACCCCATTGAAGATGAGTAATGCAATAAATTTAATCCTCGAAACTTGAACTGTAATATGAACATAAAAAACTAACAAAATGGGCCATTTAACAACATATTTGGTGTTGATATTCTACAACAAAACAAATACTTTCTCGTATAAGGAAACATACAATAATTAACATTTATCACTTTTCACGAAACAATGTAAGTGCGCTGTGACTTTACATACTTATTACAGATTGTAGAACATTTTTTTCATTGTGTATTGTCATGTAACACCTACGTCGTTTTTTTTCTTTAACAACTGCATCAGGATCGAGAACTCTGGGCTGAGAAGTAGACGGCTTACTTTATTCGTCGTTGGTAATTTAGGATTCTTTGCATGGCTGAACGAAGCTCCCTAGGAAGTCTTGGATCTGATAAACGTCCTCTCATACGAAGTTAAATTAGAGTTTGCCTCAGGGGAACAATAAAATTTCGTCGCCTAATGGAACTTTCAGTCCCAGACTGAAAAAAAAAGGAATTTACAGAAGCTGGTTGGATACCAAATAGCACAAGGCCATCTTCTCGTTCTCTAACCAGTATTGTAATTTTCACACTTCCGATCTAATGCATTACCCCCCGCCTTCATAGTGTTATAAAATAATATAGGATCTTATCAGGTTTCTTTGATTCCTCTACTATTTTGTTATCATGCTGCATAGATTGCTATATACGAGAACATGTGTATTTGGTTTTGGAAGATACTACTCTAAGGCTGTACAACATAAACTTAGAAGTACCTGGCTGTGTTTCCTTCTTATTTGGAACTACATGTTGGGGTACTTGTTACTTATTTTTACGCTTCCTGCCGACATAGGTCAGTTGGTTGATGCGCAATTCTACATGTAATTCTACTGACGTGAACCAGTCATCTGCTGTGATATTTCTGTTCGTATAGACGAAAGCATTGAGCAGGTAGTGGTGAGTCTTTGCATCATCAGTCCATACTTATTCGGTTTAGTTTTCTTGTAGGCACAGGAAGGACATCGGCCCACGAGCATCTCTATTTTGTAGGGGACTCACCCGAAATATAACAATTTCGACAGTTCTCTATGAGTGTCTCGAAAATTTCACGTATTTGGAGAAATTTATCGGCATTTCTCGAGTCACAGGGTTATTATTTTCCAAATTGGTTGCCACGGACTTTAGTTCAGGTAAATGCGTAATAATCGACCAGTTGCAGGCGCTCGTTTTGACCAATTGTACATGTTTTTTCCATAGGCATAGCGAGGTCGCCCATAGGAAGTTGTTCAGGTTGATCGATAGCAGCGTCGTCCTCGGCGTAGTCTATAGTGTATTGTTCATCCGTCAACAACGAAAAAATCCATTGTGAAGGAAGTTCAAATCGTACACGCAACTGACATCCTCGGATCAAATTTGACCGCAAAGTCAACAAACCAACAATTGTGATGTTTAAATTAAACTGTGGTTTGAGGTATACGTGCTCATACCGTATGAGAAGTCACGGGACCCCCACCACATAACTGAGAAAGCTCGAATCATCGACGATATCATTAAAGGATTAATTTCTATATTCTTGAACGAATCTATAAAATCAAAGTGGCTGGGTTTCAATTTACATAGCTCTTTGTATGGTCTTGTTTGCTGATCAACATTATATGATTTCTAGACATGTTCAATCTGTGCAGCTTCTTCACTTTCATATTAATGTCAATAAGAGCATTTCATCCATTTTTGAATAAATGTGGTTCATCACAAATTGTAGAAATACTCTGAGCATTGACTATAAAATGGAATGGACTTGATCCGTGAGTATTCTCCGAGCAAATCGTCTCAAGTGCGTTTTTGATCGTTGCGCCCTGATTAGAAATAGTGCCAACAACGCACAAACCAAGTCGCTGCTAGTTTGTGATCACATGAACAATAATCGTTTTCAGATCTGGGATTCTTGTATCTTTTACTAGATAATAAGCCACAACCTGCTTATAATTTTTACGAATCCCTCTTATCATGGAAGTAAGGGCATGATTTCTGATAAATCACTTTTTCAGAGTTCTAGTTGATTTTGTTACCTCAGAATTCAAGATTTATTAGCTGAAAATTGTACACTGTGAGCACTGGGATCAGCCCTAAACTTTGTCCAAACCCTGCAATAATCGTAAACACTAAACAAGGGTAGACATATTTCTAGTTTAACTGCCTGAAGATTTTCTCTATGGTTTATACGTAACTCTCCACCTATTATCTCATTTTTGTACATGTTCTGGGAGAACTCAACTTGCTCCCTATAAAATGCAACGTCTTCCTGCACAGGTGGTTCTGGTTAAGTGCCAGCCTGCTTCGGGTTTGTAATTAGTTGTTGCAATTTTCTGATTTCGTCGTCCTTTTTCATAATCCAGATTTCGTTTGGCATTCCGTTCAGCCATTTGATCCTGAAGCTCTTTATAGTAGAATCATTATGGCATCGTATATCTGAGATTTTAAATGAGTGTTGACCTCACGTTGGTTACTCTCGTCCATCAGACTCTTTACGTCATTTCTCAGTTTAGATTCAAGTTCTTTTAGGAAGCCAATTTTCATCTTGCAGTTCAGCAATGTGTGACATCGTTACATCAGTTTGTGCAGCAGCACTTAAAGAATGTTGCATATCTTCGTACTCAGCGTCAAGCATAGCTTCTAAGTCTGCAACCTTCTTTTTGACTCAATATTTTGAGCTTCAAGAGATGGTTTAGGGCTCTCTGATCTTCCTAGGTTCTTCAGTTGAGTACGCAGCATCTCTATTTCTGACTCGTATGTTTTTAGTCTTTTTATTATTTTTTTCCAGAAAATCGAGTCTGTATTGCAAGTCGATGAAATTCTTGCGCTTTTTGAGAATTTTTTGAACTCTTTCTATTTCTTCGTTGTACGCATCCGTTACTTGACGGAGTTCCTGACTGTAACGATCGATTTTAGAATTGGCTTCTGTGAGCTGTTTCTTCAGGTCCAAAATCTCCAGCTGATTATCTAGTTTAGTGAATTCTCTAAGCTCATTGAAAGATTCTTCCAGTTCTTTGAGTTGTCTTTTAAGTACACTTGCACGTCTTCAGCTATCACAGATTCTGCTTCGGCTAGTGCCTCCTCATATGTCTCTTCTTGAATAGGCCTCATTTCACGTCCGGATGATTCTTCTTTGGGTGGATAATTTTTCAATGGCATATACCCTAGGGATGCTTTTTTAGGTGATACGTTGCCATAGTGTCCAAAGTATGACGTCTTAATGTTTTTTTCGGTGTTGATGCCGAGGCTCCCATTTGAAAGCGCCCGACAATAGATACTTCCGTTTTTAGTCTTTCTATCTCGAGCAGATACTCTTGTTTGCTTTTATCCATCTCTTTTAGCTTAATTGCCTGCTTTTTGAGCCGAGTTTCGAGATCGCGAGTCAAGTTCTGATATCCTTGAAGTGTCTCTTCTGTAGCTGACAAGATGTTTACTTTCGTTTTATTTTTGACAGTTTTAGTGCTTTGGGCGAATTCTGGTGTAGATCTAGTCTCCTCCTCTGCAGCTAAAGTAACATTCCCGATAATCAATGATTGGCATTACCGCCAAGAGCCTGTGAGAGCAGTCTAGTCAATTTCGAATCGCGATAACTGATAAACTCCTTCCCCTCGCTTAGTTGCCTTATCACATTTCCTAATACTGACAAAGATTTGTTTATGTTAGCCCCCTCTTTAAGACGCTCACCAGCAGCTTTCGTCAGAGAAACTCTCTCAGAACCAGCTAAGTCCATTAAGTTAAGGTAGCTTATATGTACAGGTCCATCTTTCTGATTGGCATCTTTCGACTCCAGAATAATCCGGAAAATCGTGTGTGATCGAGATGACCTCTCATTCATGCGAGTAGCTGCAACTCGTCTGATCTTATTGCCCTGCATCATGTTCTCCATAACTTTATCAACATTGTCTACGACAGCTTCCATTGCAGCACATTTCCTTTGATATCTTCTCATAGTTAAACCCTGATTGCTCTTATCCAGGAGGTCATTGATCTTTTCATTGTAGATTTCAATATAACTGCATCTAATCAAGTACCTCTTATCAACCTGGTCTGCCACATGCTGGAATAACTGATTGGATACTAATTGGAAAAGCCCAGGATCTGTTTTATTGCCCAAAATGGTGTGTGTTTTGCCAGAAGATGTTTGGCCATATGCAAATATTGTGGCATTGAAACCTTCCATGAAGGAATCGACTAAAGGTTTTACTACAGATCCATATACATCTGAATTTGTACATTCCTGATTAAATACATGGTCGAATATATAAACCTCTCCATGGCGACTACTTTCATCGGCTTCCCATATGCAGTTTACTCTTACGTTCCAAAGACGCTCTAGAACCATCGGCTACTTCGCGGTGGATCATTGGTCTGATCTTTGTGGCTACTTTAATATTGTTGGAAGTCATTTTGGAAGCTTGAACTGAAATTTAATTAGAACTAGGGCTATTTCACGGGTTATAAAGAGGGGCAGATGTATCAGGTTGATACATTCTTTTTTTCCTCCTTTCCAGTATAGAAGATTTTTTTCTCTTGTAGGCTATGAATGCGGTCCGATAGTTTAGTAGAGCTACATTTACAGGGTGACTCAAAATCAAAGAAGAAACAGAATTGTTAAATTTCATATAGACTGTTATTGTTATTACAAAAAGAAGTTGAAGCAGCAGCAAATTCTCACAAATCTATAGATCCATCACTTTCAGCACCCGATTTTTCAACTTGAAAAATGCAGCTCGGTGAAGAATCACAAGGTAACTGTTGTCTATTCAGACAATACTCTTCTAAAAGCAACGCGAAGTTACCTAGTGCCTTACATGAATCGCCTTCATAATTCTTCATTATTGTCAATGGAAAACTGAAATTGTTGATTATTACAGTTTTTAATGCTTCAAATAAACAGATGGTGTTCGTGTTGGAAATCCCACGTCTAATCTCGCAAAACAGGTTATCCACCGGATCTTACTATCAACATCTGAAATGCCATTACTGTTTTTAGCCATGTGTACAACAGGTTTGTACGCATAAGACACTCTTACATGAAAACTGTTTATTGTCTAAAAACGAAAATACCCCATTGAAGATGAGTAATGCAATAAATATAATCCTCGAAACTTGAACTGTAATATGAACATAAAAAAACTAACAAAATGGGCCATTTAACAACATATTTGGTGTTGATATTCTACAACAAAAACAAATACTTTCTCGTATAAGGAAACATACAATAATTAACATTTATCACTTTTCACGAAACAATGTAAGTGCGCTGTGACTTTACATACTTATTACAGATTGTAGAACATTTTTTTCATTGTGTATTGTCATGTAACACCTACGTCGTTTTTTTTCTTTAACAACTGCATCAGGATCGAGAACTCTGGGCTGAGAAGTAGACGGCTTACTTTATTCGTCGTTGGTAATTTAGGATTCTTTGCATGGCTGAACGAAGCTCCCTAGGAAGTCTTGGATCTGATAAACGTCCTCTCATACGAAGTTAAATTAGAGTTTGCCTCAGGGGAACAATAAAATTTCGTCGCCTAATGGAACTTTCAGTCCCAGACTGAAAAAAAAAGGAATTTACAGAAGCTGGTTGGATACCAAATAGCACAAGGCCATCTTCTCGTTCTCTAACCAGTATTGTAATTTACACACTTCCGATCTAATGCATTACCCCCCGCCTTCATAGTGTTATAAAAATAATATAGGATCTTATCAGGTTTTTTGATTCCTCTACTATTTTGTTATCATGCTGCATAGATTGCTATACGAGAACATGTGTATTTGGTTTTGGAAGATACTACTCTAAGGCTGTACAACATAAACTTAGAAGTACCTGGCTGTGTTTCCTTCTTATTTGGAACTACATGTTGGGGTACTTGTTACTTATTTTTACGCTTCCTGCCGACATAGGTCAGTTGGTTGATGCGCAATTCTACATGTAATTCTACTGACGTGAACCAGTCATCTGCTGTGATATTTCTGTTCGTATAGACGAAAGCATTGAGCAGGTAGTGGTGAGTCTTTGCATCATCAGTCCATACTTATTCGGTTTAGTTTTCTTGTAGGCACAGGAAGGACATCGGCCCACGAGCATCTCGTATTTTGTAGGGGACTCACCCGAAATATAACAATTTCGACAGTTCTCTATGAGTGTCTCGAAAATTTCACGTATTTGGAGAAATTTATCGGCATTTCTCGAGTCACAGGGTTATTATTTTCCAAATTGGTTGCCACGGACTTTAGTTCAGGTAAATGCGTAATAATCGACCAGTTGCAGGCGCTCGTTTTGACCAATTGTACATGTTTTTTCCATAGGCATAGCGAGGTCGCCCATAGGAAGTTGTTCAGGTTGATCGATAGCAGCGTCGTCCTCGGCGTAGTCTATAGTGTATTGTTCATCCGTCAACAACGAAAAAATCCATTGTGAAGGAAGTTCAAATCGTACACGCAACTGACATCCTCGGATCAAATTTGACCGCAAAGTCAACAAACCAACAATTGTGATGTTTAAATTAAACTGTGGTTTGAGGTATACGTGCTCATACCGTATGAGAAGTCACGGGACCCCCACCACATAACTGAGAAAGCTCGAATCATCCGACGATATCATTAAAGGATTAATTTCTATATTCTTGAACGAATCTATAAAATCAAAGTGGCTGGGTTTCAATTTACATAGCTCTTTGTATGGTCTTGTTTGCTGATCAACATTATATGATTTCTAGACATGTTCAATCTGTGCAGCTTCTTCACTTTCATATTAATGTCAATAAGAGCATTTCATCCATTTTTGAATAAATGTGGTTCATCACAAATTGTAGAAATACTCTGAGCATTGACTATAAAATGGAATGGACTTGATCCGTGAGTATTCTCCGAGCAAATCGTCTCAAGTGCGTTTTTGATCGTTGCGCCCTGATTAGAAATAGTGCCAACAACGCACAAACCAAGTCGCTGCTAGTTTGTGATCACATGAACAATAATCGTTTTCAGATCTGGGATTCTTGTATCTTTTACTAGATAATAAGCCACAACCTGCTTATAATTTTTACGAATCCCTCTTATCATGGAAGTAAGGGCATGATTTCTGATAAATCACTTTTTCAGAGTTCTAGTTGATTTTGTTACCTCAGAATTCAAGATTTATTAGCTGAAAATTGTACACTGTGAGCACTGGGATCAGCCCTAAACTTTGTCCAAACCCTGCAATAATCGTAAACACTAAACAAGGGTAGACATATTTCTAGTTTAACTGCCTGAAGATTTTCTCTATGGTTTATACGTAACTCTCCACCTATTATCTCATTTTTGTACATGTTCTGGGAGAACTCAACTTGCTCCCTATAAAATGCAACGTCTTCCTGCACAGGTGGTTCTGGTTAAGTGCCAGCCTGCTTCGGGTTTGTAATTAGTTGTTGCAATTTTCTGATTTCGTCGTCCTTTTTCATAATCCAGATTTCGTTTTGGCATTCCAGTTCAGCCATTTGATCCTGAAGCTCTTTTATAGTAGAATCATTATGGCATCGTATATCTGAGATTTTAAATGAGTGGTTGACCTCACGTTGGTTACTCTCGTCCATCAGACTCTTTACGTCATTTCTCAGTTTAGATTCAAGTTCTTTTAGGAAGCCAATTTCATCTTGCAGTTCAGCAATGTGTGACATCGTTACATCAGTTTGTGCAGCAGCACTTAAAGAATGTTGCATATCTTCGTACTCAGCGTCAAGCATAGCTTCTAAGTCTGCAACCTTCTTTTTTGACTCAATATTTTGAGCTTCAAGAGATGGTTTAGGGCTCTCTGATCTTCCTAGGTTCTTCAGTTGAGTACGCAGCATCTCTATTTCTGACTCGTATGTTTTTAGTCTTTTTATTATTTTTTTCCAGAAAATCGAGTCTGTATTGCAAGTCGATGAAATTCTTGCGCTTTTTGAGAATTTTTTTGAACTCTTTCTATTTCTTCGTTGTACGCATCCGTTACTTGGCGGAGTTCCTGACTGTAACGATCGAATTTAGAATTGGCTTCTGTGAGCTGTTTCTTCAGGTCCAAAATCTCCAGCTGATTATCTAGTTTAGTGAATTCTCTAAGCTCATTGAAAGATTCTTCCAGTTCTTTGAGTTGTCTTTTAAGTACACTTGCACGTCTTCAGCTATCACAGATTCTGCTTCGGCTAGTGCCTCCTCATATGTCTCTTCTTGAATAGGCCTCATTTCACGTCCGGATGATTCTTCTTTGGGTGGATAATTTTTCAATGGCATATACCCTAGGGATGCTTTTTTAGGTGATACGTTGCCATAGTGTCCAAAAGTATGACGTCTTAATGTTTTTTTCGGTGTTGATGCCGAGGCTCCCATTTGAAAGCGCCCGACAATAGATACTTCCGTTTTTAGTCTTTCTATCTCGAGCAGATACTCTTGTTTGCTTTTATCCATCTCTTTTAGCTTAATTGCCTGCTTTTTGAGCCGAGTTTCGAGATCGCGAGTCAAGTTCTGATATCCTTGAAGTGTCTCTTCTGTAGCTGACAAGATGTTTACTTTCGTTTTATTTTTGACAGTTTTAGTGCTTTGGGCGAATTCTGGTGTAGATCTAGTCTCCTCCTCTGCAGCTAAAGTAACATTCCCGATAATCAATGATTTGGCATTACCGCCAAGAGCCTGTGAGAGCAGTCTAGTCAATTTCGAATCGCGATAACTGATAAACTCCTTCCCCTCGCTTAGTTGCCTTATCACATTTCCTAATACTGACAAAGATTTGTTTATGTTAGCCCCCTCTTTAAGACGCTCACCAGCAGCTTTCGTCAGAGAAACTCTCTCAGAACCAGCTAAGTCCATTAAGTTAAGGTAGCTTATATGTACAGGTCCATCTTTCTGATTGGCATCTTTCGACTCCAGAATAATCCGGAAAATCGTGTGTGATCGAGATGACCTCTCATTCATGCGAGTAGCTGCAACTCGTCTGATCTTATTGCCCTGCATCATGTTCTCCATAACTTTATCAACATTGTCTACGACAGCTTCCCTTGCATCAAGCAGCACATTTCCTTTGATATCTTCTTATAGTTAAACCCTGATTGCTCTTATCCAGGAGGTCATTGATCTTTTCATTGTAGATTTCAATATAACTGCATCTAATCAAGTACCTCTTATCAACCTGGTCTGCCACATGCTGGAATAACTGATTGGATACTAATTGGAAAAGCCCAGGATCTGTTTTATTGCCCAAAATGGTGTGTGTTTTGCCAGAAGATGTTTGGCCATATGCAAATATTGTGGCATTGAAACCTTCCATGAAGGAATCGACTAAAGGTTTTACTACAGATCCATATACATCTGAATTTGTACATTCCTGCTTAAATACATGGTCGAATATATAAACCTCTCCATGGCGACTACTTTCATCGGCTTCCCATATGCAGTTTACTCTTACGTTCCAAAGACGCTCTAGACCATCGGCTACTTCGCGGTGGATCATTGGTCTGATCTTTGTGGCTACTTTAATATTGTCGGAAGTCATTTTGGAAGCTTGAACTGAAATTTAATTAGAACTAGGGCTATTTCACGGGTTATAAAGAGGGGCAGATGTATCAGGTTGATACATTCTTTTTTTCCTCCTTTCCAGTATAGAAGATTTTTTTCTCTTGTAGGCTATGAATGCGGTCCGATAGTTTAGTAGAGCTACATTTACAGGGTGACTCAAAATCAAAGAAGAAACAGAATTGTTAAATTTCATATAGACTGTTATTGTTATTACAAAAGAAGTTGAAGCAGCAGCAAATTCTCACAAATCTATAGATCCATCACTTTCAGCACCCGATTTTTCAACTTGAAAAATGCAGCTCGGTGAAGAATCACAAGGTAACTGTTGTCTATTCAGACAATACTCTTCTAAAAGCAACGCGAAGTTACCTAGTGCCTTACATGAATCGCCTTCATAATTCTTCATTATTGTCAATGGAAAACTGAAATTGTTGATTATTACAGTTTTTAATGCTTCAAATAAACAGATGGTGTTCGTGTTGGAAATCCCACGTCTAATCTCGCAAAACAGGTTATCCACCGGATCTTACTATCAACATCTGAAATGCCATTACTGTTTTTAGCCATGTGTACAACAGGTTTGTACGCATAAGACACTCTTACATGAAAACTGTTTATTGTCTAAAAACGAAAATACCCCATTGAAGATGAGTAATGCAATAAATATAATCCTCGAAACTTGAACTGTAATATGAACATAAAAAAACTAACAAAATGGGCCATTTAACAACATATTTGGTGTTGATATTCTACAACAAAAACAAATACTTTCTCGTATAAGGAAACATACAATAATTAACATTTATCACTTTTCACGAAACAATGTAAGTGCGCTGTGACTTTACATACTTATTACAGATTGTAGAACATTTTTTTCATTGTGTATTGTCATGTAACACCTACGTCGTTTTTTTTCTTTAACAACTGCATCAGGATCGAGAACTCTGGGCTGAGAAGTAGACGGCTTACTTTATTCGTCGTTGGTAATTTAGGATTCTTTGCATGGCTGAACGAAGCTCCCTAGGAAGTCTTGGATCTGATAAACGTCCTCTCATACGAAGTTAAATTAGAGTTTGCCTCAGGGGAACAATAAAATTTCGTCGCCTAATGGAACTTTCAGTCCCAGACTGAAAAAAAAAGGAATTTACAGAAGCTGGTTGGATACCAAATAGCACAAGGCCATCTTCTCGTTCTCTAACCAGTATTGTAATTTACACACTTCCGATCTAATGCATTACCCCCCCGCCTTCATAGTGTTATAAAAAATATAGGATCTTATCAGGTTTCTTTGATTCCTCTACTATTTTGTTATCATGCTGCATAGATTGCTATACGAGAACATGTGTATTGGTTTTGGAAGATACTACTAAGGCTGTACAACATAAACTTAGAAGTACCTGGCTGTGTTTCCTTCTTATTTGGAACTACATGTTGGGGTACTTGTTACTTATTTTTACGCTTCCTGCCGACATAGGTCAGTTGGTTGATGCGCAATTCTACATGTAATTCTACTGACGTGAACCAGTCATCTGCTGTGAATTTCTGTTCGTATAGACGAAAGCATTGAGCAGGTAGTGGTGAGTCTTTGCATCATCAGTCCATACTTATTCGGTTTAGTTTTCTTGTAGGCACAGGAAGGACATCGGCCGGCCCACGAGCATCTCGTATTTTGTAGGGGACTCACCCGAAATATAACAATTTCGACAGTTCTCTATGAGTGTCTCGAAAATTTCACGTATTTGGAGAAATTTATCGGCATTTCTCGAGTCACAGGGTTATTATTTTCCAAATTGGTTGCCACGGACTTTAGTTCAGGTAAATGCGTAATAATCGACCAGTTGCAGGCGCTCGTTTTGACCAATTGTACATGTTTTTTCCATAGGCATAGCGAGGTCGCCCATAGGAAGTTGTTCAGGTTGATCGATAGCAGCGTCGTCCTCGGCGTAGTCTATAGTGTATTGTTCATCCGTCAACAACGAAAAAATCCATTGTGAAGGAAGTTCAAATCGTACACGCAACTGACATCCTCGGATCAAATTTGACCGCAAAGTCAACAAACCAACAATTGTGATGTTTAAATTAAACTGTGGTTTGAGGTATACGTGCTCATACCGTATGAGAAGTCACGGGACCCCCACCACATAACTGAGAAAGCTCGAATCATCCGACGATATCATTAAAGGATTAATTTCTATATTCTTGAACGAATCTATAAAATCAAGTGGCTGGGTTTCAATTTACATAGCTCTTTGTATGGTCTTGTTTGCTGATCAACATTATATGATTTCTAGACATGTTCAATCTGTGCAGCTTCTTCACTTTCATATTAATGTCAATAAGAGCATTTCATCCATTTTTGAATAAATGTGGTTCATCACAAATTGTAGAAATACTCTGAGCATTGACTATAAAATGGAATGGACTTGATCCGTGAGTATTCTCCGAGCAAATCGTCTCAAGTGCGTTTTTGATCGTTGCGGCCCTGATTAGAAATAGTGCCAACAACGCACAAACCAAGTCGCTGCTAGTTTGTGATCACATGAACAATAAATCGTTTTCAGATCTGGGATTCTTGTATCTTTACTAGATAATAAGCCACAACCTGCTTAATTTTTACGAATCCCTCTTCATGGAATAAGGGCATGATTTCTGATAAATCACTTTTCAGAGTTTCTAGTTGATTTGTTACCTCAGAATTCAAGATTTATTAGCTGAAAATTGTACACTGTGAGCACTGGGATCAGCCCTAAACTTTGTCCAAACCCTGCAATAATCGTAAAACACTAAACAAGGGTAGACATATTTCTAGTTTAACTGCCTGAAGATTTTTCTTATGGTTTATTACGTAACTCTCCACCTATTATCTCATTTTTGTACATGTTCTGGGAGAACTCAACTTGCTCCCTATAAAATGCAACGTCTTCCTGCACAGGTGGTTCTGGTTTAAGTGCCAGCCTGCTTCGGGTTTGTAAGTAGTGTTGCAATTTTTTCTCGATTCGTCCTTTTTCATAATCCAGATTTCGTTTTGGCATTCCAGTTCAGCCATTTGATCCTGAAGCTCTTTTATATAGAATCATTATGGCATCGTATATCTGAGATTTTAAATGAGTGGTTGACCTCACGTTGGTTACTCTCGTCCATCAGACCTCTTTACGGTCATATCTCAGTTTAGATTCAAGTTCTTTTAGGAAGCCAATTTCATCTTGCAGTTCAGCAATGTGTGACATCGTTACATCAGTTTGTGCAGCAGCACTTAAAGAATGTTGCATATCTTCGTACTCAGCGTCAAGCATAGCTTCTAGTCTGCAACCTTCTTTTTTGACTCAATATTTTGAGCTTCAAGAGATGGTTTAGGGCTCTCTGATCTTCCTAGGTTCTTCAGTTGAGTACGCAGCATCTCTATTTCTGACTCGTATGTTTTAGTCTTTTTTATTTTTTTTCCAGAAAATCGAGTCTTATTGCAAGTCGATGAAATTCTTGCGCTTTTTGAGAATTTTTTTGAACTCTTTCTATTCTTCGTTGTACGCATCCGTTACTTGGCGGAGTTCCTTGTAACGATCGAATTTAGAATTGGCTTCTGTGAGCTGTTTCTTCAGGTCCAAAATCTCCAGCTGATATCTAGTTTAGTGAATTCTCTAAGCTCATTGAAAGATTCTTCCAGTTCTTTGCGTTGTCTTTAAGTACACTGCACGTCTTCAGCTATCACAGATTCTGCTTCGGCTAGTGCCTCCTCATATGTCTCTTCTTGAATAGGCCTCATTTCACGTCCGGATGATTCTTCTTTGGGTGGATAATTTTTTCAATGGCATATACCCTAGGGATGCTTTTTTTAGGTGATACGTTGCCATAGTGTCCAAAAGTATGACGTCTTAATGTTTTTTTCGGTGTGGTGATGCCGAGGCTCCATTTGAAAGCGCCCGACAATAGATACTACTTCCGTTTTTAGTCTTTCTATCTCGGCAGATACTCTTTGTTGCTTTTATCCATCTCTTTTAGCTTAATTGCCTGCTTTTTGAGCCGAGTTTCGAGATCGCGAGTCAAGTTCTATATCCTTGAAGTGTCTCTTCTGTAGCGACAAGAGTTACTTTCGTTTTATTTTTGACAGTTTTAGTGCTTTGGGCGAATTCTGGTAGATCTAGTCTCCTCCTCTCAGCTAAAGTAACATTCCCGAATAATCAAGATTTGGCATTACCGCCAAGAGCCTGTGAGAGCAGTCTAGTCAATTTTCGAATCGCGATAACTGATAAACTCCTTCCCCTCGCTTAGTGTGCCTTATCACATTTCCTAATACGACAAAGATTTGTTTATGTTAGCCCCCTCTTTAAGACGCTCACCAGCAGCTTT